AAATAACTCAGTCTTAACTTTCTTCTTTACCTTTGGCATTAACCTCTCTATATATAGTCCTCCTGTGGCTTTTCTCTAACCAAGAGGACTCTAAATTTCTCATAAATTTCTTCTTCACCTTTGGCAGAAAAAAATAGAAACAGTTATGTCGGTTGTCCCTGGTTGGTCTATATCGCTAGCGAACAATGTCAATGCTATTATAAGCTCGGCAGATCGGGATAACCTACCCGTTCTGAACCCTGGTTTTGGTGTAACTGTCTCCAAAACCACCGTAGAGTGGTTTAACTTCTTGCATGACCTATCGGTTGCGATCTCGCCCATTCTTCCAGAAGGGTGGGTTCATGAGTGGCCGACTTACCGTTGCATTCCCGCTCATTTTAAGGAACGCTGGTTTCTTGAACTCGCTGTAAGCATCCATTTTGTATCCCTATTAAATTTGACAGTTGTTATGCTTCTAATATTTGTTATGTTATTTTATTTATTTTTTAGCGTAAAAACACTTGGGATCCGAAGCATAATTACGTAGTTTGGGAGAGTTTTAATCACGTATCCAGAACGATATTTCGTCATCAAATGCGGGTGTTGAAGAGGAATTGGGCGCTTGGTGGGCAGAAGCCTGATTGGATGCTAACCAGAGTTTGGCTTACTCTCGTGGATATGTTTGAAGAATTTGGACCTGATAACTTTGGCGTTTAGAAAGGTTGCGTTTGATATTTAGTTATGTTATTTTGAAAGTCAGCCGTAGAGTTTATGTAACTCAGCCGCTTTAATATTAATAACTCAGCCGCAGTATATTATTAACTCAGCCTTTTATTTTACTCAGCCTTTTATTAAACTTAAACTTTTATTTAACTCAACCGCAGTAGACTATAACTCAGCCGCAGTAGACTATAACTCAGCCGCAGTAGAACTATAACTCAGTCGTAATTAGAAACATTAAAATCAATAACTCAGCTGTAATACAACATAGTGTACATATCAATACAACACTTAAAGCGGACAAGTTTTCACATTATGTCCACTCTGTCTACAACGAGAACATGTGTGTTCTTTCCT